AGTCCCTCTATCTCAGGCTCTTAGGAAAACTCAAAGGGGCCGTTAGTAGTTTTGTCTGCATGCCTTTATTTTTGCTGAATTCCTTGTTATTTTAGGAGTGGTCTAGTTCAGGGAGATATTCCAAATCTGGTCTGTTGAAGCAGATCTCCTCTGATACTCACAAGTAGCCAGTTGACTAGGCAACCGAAAGGACCTCGAAATGTGTGCTCATGGAAGCCCCATACCCTGGCCATATTTCCTGGGAATTCAGAATCTTCAAAACAGTCGGGTTGAGTGTCATACTTAATCAGAGGTCTTTAATTTGGTTATTGTTTGTTTGCTAGGTTGGTTGGTTTGGTCTGTGTGTGTGTGTGTGTGCATGTGCTCATGTATACTCCAATGTGTCTTTGTATGCTCACACATGCCAGGGTGCACATGGAGATGTCAGAAGACAGCTTCCAAGAGTCAGTTTTCTCCTTCCACCATGTGGATCCCACAGATCAAACTCAGGTTGTCAGGCGTAGCTGCAAGCACCCTTGCCCAATAAGCCATCTTGCTGGCCCAGAGATCCTTAATTTAGACTCGGTCCCTTGGCCACGAAACAGGTTCCCAGAGCCCAGAGTTCCACCCTAGACATGCAGTACACTGTTCTCTGCCTCTTTATTCCTACCCAAGCCAACAGACTTCACTTCCACATTTAACCAAGGGAAAAGTCAGCCAAGCATTTCCCCAGCCACTTTCTCTTGCAGTTGAAGCCAAAAGCCAAAGCCAGAAGCCAGAAGCTTGCCATTCATTATACCAAGCCCCTCCCCTACACCCAAGCCAGTATCAGCCCAGCACCTAGGCCCAGCATGCACACACAGGCCAGACTCTCCATTCACCAACCCCATACCACCAAAGGGGAACCCGGAAACACAAAAGAGCAAGCTTGGAGGAACTAAAGGAAAGAAGTAGAGAGGGAAAAAAGAGGAGGGAAAAAATAAAAAAAGCAATGATGGTTTTGCACTCATTGAGAAACAACTCAGCCAGGACGTACCTGTTTGAGCAGGGCCTCCCCGCTGTTCTCAGAGACTGCCAATGAGGTGGACAGTCTTCCTTATCCCTGAGGCCTCGGACCAAGTGTCGCTTTGGTTTATTTCAGGAAATGCTATTGGAAAGATAAAACAAAGTGCCTGGGCAGGCACTATAAAAAGTAGAAGAAATACGGAAGACGTCATCCTCCAGTGGGTGGCTACATGGTTTTACGCAGGGGTGAAGGGAGGGAGATACATTGTGTAGTATCGCTCTTCCTTCCAGGAACGCCACCTCAGTGGCTCTGCCAGGGCTGAGCCCGTGACTTGCTGACATTCCATGCCTGTGTTCAGATGGACGCTCCTCTTTGCCAAGACGAAGGTGAGGGAAACCCAGCAACCAGGAAAGGAAGAGAGGAGCCAAGGGAAGCGGCCACTGTAGTTCAGGGCCAGAGCTGGAGGGAGGCCAAATGTGAGTGGCCCCAGGCTTCTCTGGGATGGCTGCCATTTTCTCACAAGCAGAAAGATGTAAAGGTCATGGAGGGGTCTGCTCTGCGGAGCCACCGACTCCCATTGAGGAAATTCTCCACACACACACACCCCATGGCTTGCCTCTAAACAGGATATTACTTCCATTTCCTTGATTCATCCATTCTCTCCTCTCTCTCTCTCTCTCTCTCTCTCTCTCTCTCTCTCTCTCTCTCTCTCTCTTTCTCCTCTCCCCTCATCTGAATGTAATAATAGCTAGCATATATAAATAATAATTATTAATGTTATTTGTTCTTTGTTTCCAAACCTCATGTTCCTCTTCTCTTGAAAACTGGGGAAATCAACTCTACTCACATCAAAAAGATGCCCTCCCCCAGCAGAAAGAAAATCCACCTAACTTCCTATTTCTAGGGAAAATAAATAGCCCACCATGGTGCCATCTCTCCCAGGAGGACTCTTATTCTGCTCTTTTGTTGATTTGTTTTCAGTAGTTTGTGCTTCTGTTGTACCCAAAATAGAAGGATGCCAGGAGGGGAAGGGACTGTGGAAGGTAGGAGAAAAAAAAAGCAAGAATAACGGGAAAAGCCCAAGTCGTCTTTCATTTAAAAATATATATCAGAACTAGAACAGTGCCCAGAGTCAGAGGGGGTGGCTAATTGGCCAGACAGTCTGTCCCATGGGCTCAGCAGCTGCCCTTTTTATCTGCTGTGGGTGAACCCCGGCCACTGCGGCGTCCTCGACAGGAGCGAGGCTCTTCCAAATCGTCCTCATCAAAGCCGTAGAAAGTTGAGGTGTCACTTTCTGACGTGGAACCGAATAAGTCCTCCGTGGTACGTGCTGCGGCCGCTGCCTCCTTCTCCTTCCTGCCTTCTCCTCCCAAATGAGCTGACATGTATGATGAATATATCAGCACATGGGTTAAGCAACAGACAGCATTATTAATATTCTTATTACATCATTACAGTGTTATTCCTAACGGCAAGGTAATAAGCCACTGTTACACCAAAAGGGACTAACAGGTTAGGTATATCACCTGGTAACTGGGATTTGGGACAAAGCACACATTTCCAGGAAGATTCCACTTCCCAGAAAAGGCCCCATCCCTACCATGATACACGTGTCCACAGCTTCTGACAGCAAGAGATACACACACGATATCTCCTTTGGTCCGCTCACACAGAGGCACACGCTCACCCGACCCTGCCCCCACACAATGCTTTCGCTTGGTGGTTTTAAAGCCTTGTTGGTATTTCTTTGTAGTTTCAGTTGACGTTTCTTTGAACAATGTTCGTCCGTCACTTTACAGTCAGCTTTACCAAGGCATTACTGCCAGATAACCCATTCAAGGTGGTTAAGCCTCCGTCCGTTTTATTTTTATTTTTCCCCACCTCTAATCCCCTTCTTTGACAGCTCTTTCAATCCCACCCTCATGCCGTGTAGTTCATTTGGACTGAAAGCAAAGAACAGTGGAGAATCTAAGTGTTAGTCCGGAAGAGCTTCCCACTTGACCACTGCTTGTAATCTCACACACTGCAGCTGCTAAGCACACCAAGGTCTCAGCTACTCCAGAACGTTCACCCTGTCAACTCCAACTCAAGACATAGCCAAAGGTGAAAACAGGCCTTTAAAAAGCCCCATGAATAGAGTATCCTAAGACCTGTAACTCAGGCTTCAATTGTTTCATACTCTATTGGCACCCAATACCATAGTGATGGTCCCTTCCATGCCAGAGTTGGACAGGGCACTTTCTTCCGGGAAACAGAGGCAGTGGGTAGATGAGCAGGGAATAGCCACTATTCCAACTCATATTCTTCTCTGGAAGGACCCTGGGGAGGCCCCAGAGATATAGTCACGCATCTGACTTAGCAGCCCAACTCAGGGGTTAATGCCACCTGTATATTAACTATTTCAGGAACATTAGAGTCAGGTGTTAATAAAGGACCCCAAATTAGTTCCCAGCAGTTACAGTGAGAATACCTATGGCGCTGTAACTTGACACATGAAGTACATGTCAGACAGAACCAAGGCAAGAAACGGTGAGCGAAAGAGAAGCTCCATGCAGAAAAAAAAAAAAAAAAAAAAAAAAAATCCTACTTCTGATGCCCATGGATCGGTTGAAGTGCAGTAATCCACAATAGCCTGCCTAGCACACCACTCTACCAAGTGGCCTTGCTTCTGAGAGAAGAGACATTGTCTGAGTGCCTGACCTTAAAACAAATAAAAAGCACTGGGTTGAAGTTCATTTGTTTAATTTTCTTTTTTAAAAACATCTAAAAACCAGCACCATCTACTATAAGGGTCGTTTCTTCTAAGCAAAAAGTTCAATGTTACATATCACGTTTGAACCATGAATGAATCGACAGAGTTGCATGAAAGGAACTCCCTGGTAGGGTCCTTGAGAACTAAATGTAAAGGGTCTTATGCAATGGACACTAAGTTGTGTCCAATTATTGGTTTATCGCTCAAGGCTGTCTAGAGCCCTAAACAACCTTAGCTTCCAAACACATAGCGCTAAAGGCAAGGCTTAGGACCCGGGAGGGAGAACCGAATCATTGCAGAAGACCAAGACAAGGTCACCTCAGTCCTTCTCTTGGGACTGGGGCTGAAAACAATGCTGCATTCAAAAGGTAGAAGATGAAATGACCTCTCATGCTAGACCCAACCACCCAACCAAAGTCTCGCCTGTAGCGAGCCACTGATGAAACTGAAGATGGCATCTGAAATCATCTCTCCTCCCTACCTTGTGCTTTGGGCTACTTATGACATAGAAAATTAAGGGGTAAGGTGGCACCAACTAACCATGATCAGGCAAAAACAATGATTTATCTACAATTGAAAAACCAATTCATAGCCAAGACTCTATTGAACTCATTTTAAGAATGAAGGAACAAAACCAAAAGTCTCTTTTTAATGCTTTAGTGTTTGGATACATTGAAGATGAAAAGAATGTGCGGGTTGGTCTCAAGGACGCTTGCCCTCATGTGTAGGGAGCTCTGTCATGTTTCCCATGGAAATATGGGATGAGTGGCCAATGGTGCTGGTAGGTTTATGCTGCTATAAAGGAGCCCAGGAATCTCCAAGCCCCACAGATCAGGATGTGGCTGCTTCCCTAATACTTGTGTTTCCATACTCTGGGGTTGCCCCAGGTATTTCCACAGAACAAACACAATTTTTGTTACATGTTCATCTTCCAGCACAGGCTAGCATGTTGCCTGGGATCTCCAGGTATCTCTGCTCTACTGTACTTTGGACCGCAACTACACATACAAAGTAATGTCCACCTCATGGATAGGCCAGACCTTCTCCTTGTCCTTTCCCCTGGGACCCAGAGAATGGGTTCTGGTCCTTTAAGACCCAAAGAGGAAAGACATGAACATGACCTGCAAATCCCTTTCCCCTCAAAGTCACCGACGCCACCATTACTTCTCCACCCTCCTCTCCCAGCCCAGCCACGGGGAGATGGCAGAGCAATCCAGATAGAGGAGGTCTACGGCACACAGTACAGGAAGGGGCCACACTCACCAGAGCGTCCACAGTCTGCACAGGACACCAGCTCTTCAGGCCTCCCACTCTTCTTGTTCATGTTGGAGCCCCCCAAGCAGAAGTCACAGTAGTTGTTGGGAATGACGGTCCCATCTGGTCCTTTCTGGGCTGTGGAAACATTGAGAAAGAATTCCAATTTTAGACTTAGATGCTGCCCCTTCTTCTTCTGGAGTGTAGCAGAGTGTCTTCCAGGAAGAATAGAAAGCTTAGAATGGAAGAGTTTGTTATAGCTGCTTTTTTTTTTTTTAATCCTTCTGGGTCCAATGATACCCATCTTGCAAATCATTCAGAATCTCATCTTTGCAAGTTTTCCCAGTTCAATGTTTTTTATAGAAACCTCATTGGCCCCTCTGATTCCATCTCTAAATTAATAAACTACTCAGAAATAGCATGCGTTATTCGTCAAGTCAACCTCTGTTAATCCTGCACAGACTCCAAAACATCAGATGGAAATTGTAAACAGTGATGCCTAGAGGAAGAGGACAGCCAATGCTTTGGCCTAGCCTTTGACAGAGATACACTTATTCAGTATCTGTGACTAGTCACTTTTGACGGCATACTGGAGAGGCTCTTGAGAACTCTTGATAAACATCTTGGAGTGTACACAAATGTCTGTTCTTAGCCTCAACTCTCAGGTTTTAGACTCAATGATCATGGAAAGCAAGTAGGCTAAGTCCATCTGAAGAACCCCAATGCCTGGAATTAGAAGTGGACACAGGTTGACTGGACACTTAGCTCAGTCTCATGTCCGAGATGGACAGAATGATGGGGGAGCAAGCATATGTGTAGACCTAAGATCTTCACAAGTAATGAACACCATAACTCCATAACCTATCCCTGCTGAATGTCAAAACAAACGTATTCTTCAGGTGTGACCTCGAAAACAGAGCCCGGTGACAATACCCATGCCTTTGAGGCCCAAAGTCATTCCCAGTTACTAGGGGCTGGTTGAAAGGCCTAGAACAGGTTCCTTGCATGGGAGAATGCTTCCATTTTCTTATTTCTCTCATCCCATTGTAGACGTTTCTTAGTGATATTCACACCCCCTGATTGCCACTAAAAAGAAGAGTCTCTCTGTTTGTGGAATCAGCCTTAACCACTAGGGTATCTTCCTCCTTAGCATCCTCCATGTCTGAGGCTATCTTTCATTATTCACCGGCTAACACTAATCAGGGTCCCATAGGGTATAAATCTGTGAAGAGGAAGCAGATATGTGAGCAGAAATACCAGGCAGACAGTAAGTGATAAACGGATTCACCCCCTTTAATATGATTCCCTCTGGCCTTTGCTTCCTCCCTGCCTCACTTTGCCTCCAGGAATAGAAAACTTACCTGGGGAAGGCGGAAGACAAAAGCTAGCAGAATTACATTACAGAGGGTTAATCCATTTATCAGTTGCTATTTGAATTGTTTAATCGGTTTCTAAGTCATTGATTTCCATCTTCAAGAAGGGAGACAATCCTCTGCAAGGAAAGTGTTGGCTCTTTGGGAGAGGCAGAGGAACGGGCCACCCTCTGTGGTCTTCTGAGGTTGGGCTCTCCTTCCGTAGCCATTGGATCTCAAAGACATCCGCAGAGCAAGTAGAGTGGCTTTCCAAATCCTCTCCCAAGGCCTGTGCATCTGCCAAAATTTTACTCTGCCTATGAAATGTGCTTTGCCCAAGGAGAAATACCAGTCTCTGCCCTTTCTGCCTTTTTCAATTGCCCTCTTCCTCATTTTCAGTACTTTCTGGAGAAAATCTAAGCATGTTTAAGAAGCAAGTAAACATAAGGTTTCCTATTCAAAAGATCCACTGAAGTCTATTAAGTGGTAAATATAAACTAGAGGTGGGAAAATATTCAATTTAGAAGCAAAGTTTCATGATTGGGTGAATTAGATATAAAGTGTGCAGTGATAACCACATCTGAGTTAACTCTCCACATACAGAAAAAGAATCCCATATACGCCATGCCAAGGTCTCAGGGTCCCAGTCTGACTTTCTTCTATGCACACACAGACTTCCTGCAATATCAGGTGTCTTCCCCACTCTCAAAATACTTCTGCCACCAAAAAAATCTGAATGCCTTCAGTTGACTGCATCCCCTGATGATCTATAAAGATGAAGAGGGAAAATATAGAGAATAATAACTTCCAGACTGTCCTTTACATTATTCACCAAATAGATGGAATAACTTCCAGACTCTTCTTTACATTATTCACTAAATAGGTATAATCAAGAGCTCCAAGTCAGACCTGATAGTTCAGGCCTGTATTCCCAGTTACTTAGGAGGCTGGGGCTGGAGGATCAGAAGTTCAAGGCTTGCCAAGGGGAGTTAAAGGCCAACCTGGGCAGCTCATGGAACCCTGTCTCAAAATTTAAAATAAAATAGTCAGAGGAGGGCTGGTTATATAGCTCATTAGTAGAGTGCTTGTCTGGAATGCACGGGGATCTTAGTTTTAAAGAAGTTTCTGGTGTCAGGGTGTCAGAGCAGTGTCCCTACATATACAGGAAGACAAAATGTCTGTATAAGGGAGTGGGGAAGGTAGACTCAGGTACGTACGATTGTGACAAGGGAGGTGAGGGGTGTGTTGTTGTTTAGCAATGGTCCACTTTAGAAAGTGACAGTGAGGAAGAGAGGCATAGCTCAGTGGTAGAACACCATGAGGTGGGGAGGGAGGAGCGAGGGGACGGTAAAAGCCATGCTTTAACTTTGGTTGAGGTTCTACTCTCTCCTTGGAGGGACAGGATCAAAGCCTCCTTCCATCTCAGTACAATGACAAGGTACGGGCTAAGAGCATGTGCACTGGTTCTCTTTCGCTTTTGGATATTCAAGATTGGTTGGAGAGCACAGATACTTCCATGAACCCTCCCTATTCCCAGCCAGCAATGACCATGCCTTGGGGAGGGCACTGTGTTGGTATCACTATTACATCTCTTGATAAATGTGCACACCTGCCTCATACATTCCTTCAAATAGGCTTACCACAGGACCACCTGCATGACTTACATACTGGAAATGGTTACCAACAATTTGTGGGATGAAAAGGTGACAAAGATATAAACAGGTATCCCACGATGCACCTGGGACCTTCTTCAAGAATCCAGAGCATGGTATCGGCTTTCCCTCTGGCAGAGCAATCTTTTCTTGCTCTTGTTTTTTTTTTTCTTGACTCTTCAAAGAGATGGTCCATGTTCAAACAGATGGACTCACAACACACTCCCAAGTATGCAAGAGTAGGTAGCTGGAGGTTCATTGTAACCCCGAAAATCCAGAACTGGGCAGGTGTGGATTGAAACCTCTGAAACTTGGAACCAAAATAAATCTTTCCTCCTTTGAATTGTTTCTCTGGGGTATTTATCAGATTGATGAAAGTCTGGCTAACACAACCACTCCAAAAAGCACAAAACCATAATTCATTACCTCCTGAGAAGTGATACTAGGTCCTGTCTACCCACTTAGCCTCTCTGTGGCTCCATGGCTGGCTGAGAAGGATGAGGATTGGGTAACTACCACACAACTATGGTGGGGCTTCTGCTAAGAGGCCAGACACATAATTGCCTTGGTTCCTCCAGAACCTGTGTGAGGGAGGAGTTGTTTGAAGGGTGAGGCAACCAAAATCCAAAAAGATTACAATATTGGCTCCAGATCTCAGTTGCAAAAAACGAGTTGGGCTTCATCCGCAGTTGTCTACATCCCCAGAAATTCACACTTCTCAGTCTCCTAGGAGGTCTGGAAGCAAACGCTTTCTGGCCATACCTTGTATAGCAAGCAGTTCATAAATCTCTTTAGAGTCTATTTGATTCACCCAATATATTAATTATAAAGCTTGAGGCAATAAAAAATTATTTTGATTGGTCTGATAAAAGCAGAAATTTCCTTTTGAACTTCAACTTAATGTCTCTGCCACAGTAATCCATCCAAGGTGAACTCTGTGAAAACACTTCTCCGGCAAACTCCAGAGGCTCTTAAAGGGTGTAAAGTCATAGCTCACACTATGGCTACATTGGCCTATGGTCTGACCTGCCATGAGAAATCTCCAGGCACCGGTACATGAGATCATCATAAAAAGGATTTTACTAGAAATAGGGGGCTGGCCCAGACCTTGTTCGTGGGATTTAAATGGAGTCTCTGCTTCTGCCTATGGGAAATTGAGTCTCGCTTTGTAGAATAAGACAATGCCGAGGACAAAGCCCCCAGTGGTGTCTTGATGGCAGTGTCCACGGCGATGGCTTTGCTTCACTGTTGACTGATGTCCATGACTGAGATCATAGAAGGGATGCAAGTAAACTGCCAGGGCAAGCAAGCCAGCCTTGACAGTTTGGGGGTTTACCTGGGGGAGCCGACACAAGAAAACCTCAATAGGAAAAAACAAATAGAGGTCAGGAGCAAAGTTCATGAAGAAATGCAGGGGGAAGTAACAGAAGTAAGAGGGGGGTATTCAGATAACTCAAACCAGCAAAATGAAAAGGAACAGGTGTCTATCCTACATGTCCAACACGTGCTATTTCACTGGTTCAAAGAGTCTAGCTACCACACTCAGAGGAGTAAGAGCAGGCAGGCTAGGGGACATGCGTATGCTAAGGGACCTAATGACTAGATTATGTCTTATAGCTATGGAAAATAAAGCCCCAAGTCCATGACAGGCCTGTCTTTCCCTCGTGTTAATACCATCTCTGCTGCAATGTACCTGTCTTTCACGGACAGAAGGACTGGTGGGACAGTCTGGCCACCATCGGTAACCCCTCTCCTGAGCTCTGGAGAGATGAGAACCATATCCCAGGTGTCCTGGGGAAAGAGGAAGCAGGCCAGAAGTTGATGCCTCTCCTGGCATGTGCACAAAGGCATGGCCTCCCATTCTGAGCAGATGCTCAGGCTGCCTGCCAGGACCTGGTGTGCACAAGCAGGAGGCCATGCTCAATGTCCACTAGCTGGCTTGAGCTCCAGCCCCTGTCCTGCGGCCGTTTGTCCAGAGCCTGCTTGCTTGGGGGTGTATAGCACCTGAAAAGAAATGGGGAGCCACAAGCAGAGCCCTCCAGGAAGAGATGTGCCTCTCCTAACCCCTCTCCCTTGTTCCCCCACCACCCTCCATGGCTGACAGTTCCTGTGTCCCTCTACAGGTCTGACATGT